TGGATTAATATCCATTGGATTAATAATCTCACCCCTACCCCATTACTAATAATCCTACAAATTTGTTGGATTAATTATTTATTGGATTAATAATCCTAAACCAAAATGTTAAAACAAACATAGGATAATTGGGCCCACGGATTAATAATCACAATCCCATGCTCTAATCCACCTAATCAAACATGCCCTAAAAGTCAAACTAGTAACACTAATTTAAATATGCAAAAACAAACCCTTAAAAGTCAAACTAGTAACACTAATTTTAATAGTGGATTAATCTTCACTGTTTAGCTTTTAATATGCAATAATGTGATAATAGAATGACAATTCAAAATATCATATTTAACTGTGTCTACTAGACTAATGGAATATAATGATTTTTTTTTTATATATATATAAATAAAAGTCAACTAGTAACACTAATTTTAAATATCATTAGATCATGATAATGTATATAACTGCCCCATATAATAATTTTACTTTCATCCAAAATGCTAAAAAAAATATAAAATAATGACTAGTTATCTCCATCCATCCATCCAAAATGCAAAAAATAATAATAATAACTAGTTATTTTTTCTTTTTTAAAAAAAAAAAAAGGTGCGGGTTGCGGGCGGGTCGGGTTCGACCCGAACCCGATCTTTTGCGAATTTCTTGACCCGCACCCGCCCGCCTACCTACATCGAAACCGCCCAAAGCACTGCGAGTAGGGTAGGGTCGGGCGGTTTGTGCGGGCGGGTGGGTTTGTTGCCCAGCCCTACCATCGTGGCAAGTCTAAGTTATTCGTCATATTTCATGCCGAAATATCGCAAACTTAATTCAACTCTACCATTATGGCAAGTCTAAGTTATTCATTATATTTTATACCGAAACATCGCAAACTTAGTTCAACTCTACAATCATGGCAAGTCTAAGTTATTCGTTATATTTACCATAGGAACATCGTCATAAGACTGTTTAGTCTTATCGCACAAATTTCAACAACATTTTGTAATGAACAAAGTCAATACCAATATTTTATTAATACTTCTGCTAAGGTTATTGACACCATTAGTGCCGAGCTCCAAATTTCGTCAAGCCACATTCCACGGCCTCAACAATCTTTTACAGCCAAGATCTTCTAATCTCAAGTAAGCTTTGTTTTATCCTAACTATGTTCGCCTCTGGTAAGTTCTAATCTTTTCAAAATTGTTCACCCAGATCGAACTCTTGTCTTCTCGGACTTACTCATCTAGGCCGAGATCTTGTCTTGTAAGATCTGGGATCTAGGATCTACTTACTTAGGTTGACCTCTTGTCTTCTTGGACCTACTCATCTAGGATGAGATCTTGTCTTCTGGATCTAGGATCTGCTCACGTAGGTTAAGCTCTTGTCTCCTCGGACCTAATCATCTAGGCCGAGATCATGTCTTTTGGATCCGGGATCTGCTTACTTAGGTTGAGCTCTTGTCTTCTTGGACCTACTCATCTAGGCCGAGATCTTGTCTTCTAGATTTGGGATCTGCTCACTTAGGCTGAGCTCTTGTCTTCTCGGATCCAATCATCTAACCCGAGATCTTGTCTTCTAGGATCTCGGATCTGCTCACGTAGGCTAAGCTCTTGTCTTCTCGGACCTAATCATCTAGGCCGAGATCTTGTCTTCTGGATCTCGGATCTGCTCACTTACGTTGAGCTCTTATCTTCTCAGACCTAATCATCTAGTTGATATCTTGTTTTCTAGATCTGGGATCTGCTCACTCAGGCTGAGCTCTTATCTTCTCGGACCTAATCATCTAGGCTGAGATCTTGTCTTTTAGATCTGGGATCTGCTCATTTAGGTTGAGCTATTGTCTTCTCAGATTTAATCATCTAGGCCGAGATCTTGTCTTCTAGGATCTGAGATCTACTCCACCTAGGCCAATATCTTTTCTACTTGAATGTGATAATATATTATTAAATAAATAATAATAAAATACAGAATCTAATTTGACATTGGATTATCAAATATGAGATTAATTAAAAATTATTATTTGGGGCCAAATTAACAAAAATATGGAATTATAATACTAGTTAGACCAAATTAAAGTTAAAGATAGTAAATAAATAAATATATAAGTAAGAGTAAATAAATAATAATATTGATAACAATAATAATAATAATAATAATAATAATAATAATAATAATAATAATAATAATAATAATTGGTGTGGTAGTAAAATAAATAATTAATTTTCTGCTGGTATACAATAGAGTGTAATTTAATTAGGAATTAATTTATTTATATATTTATATTAAAAAATTGGGCCAAAGTGTAATTATCTTAAATATTTATTAAAGATAAGTATGAATCCATGATCAAATTTGAGAAGGATTGAGCTGTCGTGTGTTGGCTCAGGAGGCTTTTACCTCCCTATAAATAGAGAGGAGGTGATCAACTATGTGGAAAGAAAAGGAAAAAAAAAAAAAAAAGGGGGGAAAGCAAAAGGAAATAGAGAGAAAAAGGAGAGCAAAGGAATATCCGTGAGAAGGTAGTAAAAATAAGAAGAAAATAGTAAGTGTCAATGTTAAGGTGAGTTATATTATACCTTGACTCACCATAATATATTTTACGTATATTTTGACTTACCATAATTTATTTTATACAAGTGATATTTTATTAATTATATTAATACAAGTTATGTTTTATAAATATTTCAATTATATGGATTAATTTCCGAACTCAATTTGTTAAAATGAAACCCATGGATATGTTTGTTTATATTTTAAAGAATATTTGACAATGACCTTATAAACAATTATGTTTTGTAAGTATTACCACGGGAGTCCCATGCCTTAGGGAACTTAAATAACTATTGACTTCTGTTTGACCACTTTGTGGCCTTCTATTGTCATGGATTTATTGACCTCTGTTCTGTGCGGAGCAAAGTGCTGTGCGGAGATAAGTGCTACACTATTGTGGGAGCCACCTCTATAATCTGTACGAGCCACTTCTTGAATCCGTACCTCTGTTCTGACTGTCACTCCTGTGACCTCTGTTCTGTTTTGTTCGGTACCGTGATTATGATTATTTATTTACATAATCTCAGTTTTGCTACTTAAATGGTTATTTGTTCAGACTAAGGCCTCGTTTGGGAACTTTCTTTTTTAGCTAAAAAGTCAAAAAGTTACTAAATTAGCCAAAAAGCCAACAACCCATACCAAAAAGTCAAAAATTCTCTTTTCTCTCTACTTTTTGCATATCTTTTCGTAAAAAGCCAAAAAGTCATCCCAAACATACTAGTTTTTTTTAGCTCATATTTTAGCCAAATAGCCAAAAAGTTACTATATTAGTTTGTTCCCAAACGAGACCTAAGTTATTTTAAATATTTTAGTTACATAACTATCCATGGTTATTTTGTGTCCCTTATACTCTTGGCATAATATTTCTTACTCTGTCATGTGCTTATAGTTGTTTACCAATTTTCAAGAAACAATGCAATTGATCAAAAATAGCTTTTGGAAGGTCTTAGACGCGAGGCTGCGGAATAGACACACACAACACTTTTATGATATTTTTATATGTAAATATCGGCCTTTTTGGTCAATAAATTTTGCAATAAAAATAGAAGCTCCGATGATTATTTTGGTACCCTCACTTAAATATTATTTCCGTTCGCGTTTATTTATTTGTTCAAGAATTGGCCGAAGATAACTTCAGTTACTTGCTATCACGATACTTAACCCTTGGGTACGAGGAGCGAGTCGTGACAGTAACCCGAGATTGCTTGCCCAATCCCGACCCAAGTTAAACCTGAATTGCCAGCGTTGCTTGAATTGCCTGAATTGTAAATGAATTTTAGTTTTTGTGTGTGTGTGTGTGTAGCTACATTATTAAATTATTTAAATTTGACTCTATTTACATTTTTTTTTATGGACTATCAAAATAAATCATTTAAATAATATAAGAGAGATGCCGCTATAGTAGTCCTTACAATTTATGAGTGAAAATAAATAAAAAAAAGTAAGATTTTATGTTATTTGTATATATAATATATATTCAATATGATTTAATAATCTAAATTATTTTAATATTATGTAATGACTAATAATTTATATGTATATTTAAATTTTTATATATCTATATATGTATAATTCGGGCTGAGGGTTGCTTGGGTTGTTTGACGTCTTTGCCCAAGCCCGCCCAAATTTAATTTGGGCTTCTGAATTTTTGCCCAAGCTAGTACCGAATTTGAAAATATCTTATCCAAGCCTTAAAAAAAATTTGGGCTGGGTTTGGGTTGCTCGGGTTGAGCCCGCCAAAGTTGCACTCCTAGTGTCCAACTTTCCCTAGAAATCTTACTCTTCATGGGACTCTATCCTTTATAAGGATGGCATCTATCACAACTCACATTATTCAAATTAAAATGAATTTTCTCAAGAGTCACATCTCTATCCAAATAGGTAGTTTGATGTCATATAGGACTTTAATCTTCTATCCAAATATCTCGAATTCTGGTATTACTGCACCATATCTTGGCACTATGGTCCGCTCACGTGGCACCTCGGCTAACAACCTCAGCTACGTGGACTACCTAAAAATATGAGATTTGGCTAGAAGTGCAGAATGTTGACTATCATAATTTTATGTGCATAAGTCAAAATGAATTTTGGTACAAAATGTAAGGATGCAAAAGGTAATTTACCCAATTATTGAATATGGAAAACGCGTTATTTGTTTTGGTTTTTTTTTCTTTGGTTGTTTAAATTTAAATGCCTCTGGTTTTTCGGTTTCTTTGATTGATTGTGAAAGAGGAAGGTGGGTTGTAAAACTGTCTTGAAAGAAACCATTTTGTCATCTTTTTGATTTGTTTTTGCCATTGCTTTCATCGACCACCCAAGGGTTCTAAATTGCTTATTTAGTTAATAGATCTTCATAATAAAAAATGTTACTTAAATATAAAATTTATACAAAAAAATTAACAAGAATGATCTGGCATTTTGACATTCTTATAAATAAATTTATTTTTATAAATATTTTATTTTAAAGTGAAAAGTATACATTGATTTAATATCTATTCAAATTGTATAAATAACTTCTTTTTTAAATTTATTGACTGCCGCCCTTGGATACAACTTTCTCATAATTTCTTCTCACCGTCCTAGTAATCTCTCTCATATGGTATTTGTTATCAATTCACTCAAGGATAAAGGGAAGAAGAAAGACCAAGAAAAGTCAGGTAACTCAGTTTGTGATCTGGTGAAAGCAAAAAGTGGTCATCCTCACACTCTCTTTACTTGGCTATTATTGGTATGTGAATCTTTTACTCAAATCAAGATTTCAATAGGACTAAACTTCCTACTAATGATTGAGGGATATGATAATCCTGGTGATAATTACGCAAATTTTGATTACATCTCTGTTGGTCCCATTTTAGTCAGCCCAAGTTTCTTTTATTATCTCTAAATTAAAACCTACCTCCTTAATTTTTATTAATTCTGGACGTAAAAGAAATGAAACCTACCTTATTTGAGAGAATTGTATCTAATTTTGTGATCAATTCTCATGTTTTAGACTTCTTTACCCCCTCCTTTTTACCCGAAGCCCCACTTCACATAGTTGAAGGGCTATGTTTAAGCTCACAGGAAGAAACTTGAACCGAGAGATACTAAAAAACCTTTCAGAGACTTGCATTAGACACCGTTCTCACTTGCCCTGGGCACAATTTTTACTAATTTTTTATTAGTTTCTTGATTTTTCATTCATCTAATATTTTCTCAAATAAAATTACTGCCAATAGGCATTAGATGCAAGATGAGTAATTGTTGTTGGTTCATTATTTATTTATTTTGAGTCCATTATTTATTTATTGTTATTACACCAACAATGGTTGCCTTTGATTTCTTTCAATGTTTACTTATCTAAATTTTTAAGTGTTATTGATGCCCCCAGAGATGTCTACACCGGCCTTCTCCAGCCCTCCACCAGCAGACGGTGGTGGGGCATCTGTTGCAGGTAAGTTTGCTCACTAGAAATATAAGTTACCAAAAAGAAATTACAATAATATGATTTACTTCACTATCCATTTCCATTTTTTTTTTTTTTACAGGCATAATAGTCGGTCTGGTAGTACTTGTAATCATCGGCATTATCTCTTTGACTTGCGCAAAGATGACAACAAGAGCAATTGTTTCAGATCTACAAGCAAGAGTTGCTCCTCCACCACCACCGACCTTGAATGTGGTTCGAGTTTGGGAAATCGATGTGCCAACAATGGAGAGGTTCCTCCAAGAATTGGCGAAGGACAGACCGGTTAGATTCACAGCCCAGCAACTATGTAGTTTCACAACCAATTACTCCACAAGGTTGGGTTCTGGAGGTTTTGGGATTGTTTACAAAGGCCAATTTCCAAATGGTGTTCAAATCGCAGTCAAGGTCCTCAATAGGAGCTTAGATAGAGGAGCTGAGCAACAATTCATGGCAGAGGTGAGTACTATTGGAAGAACATACCATATAAATCTAGTTAGGTTATATGGATTTTGCTACGATCACATAATGAGTGCGTTAGTGTACGAGTACATGGAAAATGGATCACTAGATAAACACCTTTTTAGCGATACACAAGCAATTGAGTGGGTAAAGCTCCATGAAATAGCGATTGGGACGGCAAAAGGTATCACTTACCTACACGAAGAGTGTGAACAGAGGATCATTCACTATGACATAAAGCCCGGTAATGTTCTGTTAGATGCCAATTTTTTCCCCAAAGTCGCTGATTTTGGATTGGCAAAGCTTTGCAATAGAGACAACACCCATGTGTCTTCCACCGGATATAGGGGGACTCCTGGTTACTCTGCGCCAGAATTTCTTCTCAAGAACTATTCGATAACACATAAATGTGATGTTTATAGTTTTGGTATGCTTTTGTTTGAGATAGTAGGGAGGAGGAGGAATGCCAGAGTTGGTCATGCCGAGGAAGAAGAGAGCATGGATTGGTTCCCAAAATATGTTTGGGATGAGTTTGAGAAAGGTGAGTTGGGAGCAATGATATTGTCGTGTGGAATCGAAGAGAATGAGAGAGAGAAAGGAGAGAGAATGGCTATGGTGGCTTTGTGGTGTGTTCAGGACTCGCCCGAGGCTAGGCCGCCTATGAGTGCTGTGGTGAAAATGTTGGAGGGAGGAGTGGAGGTGAAGCCACCTCCCAAACCATTCCATTATTTGTATTCTGTAGGGGTGAATGTGCTCAATATACTCAACAGTTCAGACTGTACAAGTAGTGAAGGAACTAATACATACTGGTACAAGGAGACCACTCCTGTCATGGCTAAGTATGAGATACAAATGGCCAGTTCAGGCTAAAAAAAATATATAAATAAAGAGAAACCATTGTAATTTGTAGCCTCGAATTTTTTTTTTTGAATTTTTTAGTTTGTTTCTCTAATTTGTACCCTAAGTAAAAGCCTTGACTACCCTAAACTACCCTAAAAATTTGAGAAACTATATTGTAACTTGTACCTAAAGATGATTTTGAGAACTTTATGAGTGTCTCTTATATTTACTGTGAAATTCAGGATTATGTTAAAAAATACAATCGGATTGTCATGTTTGAAATCTCCATTTAGATTTCTATTACGACACACACGAGTGATTCTACAAGTTTTCTCATAGATTCCATTGTTTTGAATGTGTTTGTGAACAAAAAAGGACTCTCTGACCACCACACAAAATGTACAAACCAAAAGGAAAAAGAGAAGATAGTGACAGGTCATGTGTGGTGTGCCTCTGTTTCAGTTCAACATAACTCTCTGTCAGTTCTGAAAGAAAAAAATTAATAACAAAAAGAAAAAGAACTCTTCAACTAAAAGATGAGAAATAAAAAAAACAAAAAATAAAAAATAAAAAACTATTAAAGATGTAAACAAGAGAAAATGCATCAAGATCAATAGCCATAAATCCCAGCCAAATGCTCATGAATTTCAAGTCATAAAAAAGTCAACATTGGAAGCACAGCCTCTTTAGTTTGGCCCCAAGCTCAAAACAAATTCTAATGAAATCCCTAGACCACCACAGATCAAAGTCCCTCAGCTTCTCACAAGAATAAAATGAATCCTGGGCTAGCCCCAGATTACACCATCAAACATAAATTAACACCCATCAGTTTCCTAGATCCCAAACAAGTAGAGAGAACCATCCACAAACACTGGAAGCAAAAGCAAAATAGAAAGATCCAAAAACCAGAGAATTAAAAGACAAAAAAAATACCCTTTTGCTAGTTAGCTGTCCATCCCAAAATGAAGAACACCAGACCAGGATTCTAGTCAATTACCAAAATCCCATTTCTAATGGATGGGAAACTATTAGTAGAATTTAGATGGCAGCAACTTTCGGAACATCCACGGGGAATTGGTCAATCTCATCCATCCATGGGTTTTTCTCTTTTGCCGGATCGATGGCCCTCAGAGCCTTCCAAACCGCACTGTTACACTTAAACCCGGAACCAAACGCTATCTGCCACATTCTATCTCCCCTCTTCACCCTCCCTTTGGCTTCTGTATATGCCAATTCATACCAAAGAGAACTGCTTGAAGTGTTGCCAAATCGGTATAGTGTCATCCTTGAAGGCTCCATATTCCAATCAGAAAGCTGCAAGTTTTTCTCTATTTCGTCCAACACGGCTCTTCCTCCAGCATGAATGCAGAAATGCTCAAAAGCCAATTTGAAATCGGGGATATAGGGCTTTATCTTCATCCTGAAAAGTTTTTTGCCAACCAATGTGGCAAAGAAGAGCAACTGTTCGGACATTGGAAGCACAAGAGGTCCCAAAGTGGTGATGTTTGTCTTCAAAGCATCTCCAGCGACTGCCATCAGATCCTTTGACAGCGAGACTCCAACCTTTCCATTTGGATCCTCCCTTTGAAAAACACATGAAAAGCATTTATCATCAGAACCCTTGTGGGTCCGAACAGTGTGAACCAATTGGTACTTGGATCGACGCCAGTCAGACCATTTGTTCGAAAGCAGAATTGCTGCCCCTCCCATTCGAAACAAGCAATTTGAAACAAGCATTGATCTCTCATTCCCAAAGTACCAATTCAAAGTAATATTTTCCATGCTGATTACCAAAGCATACGAATTGGGATGAACTTGAAGAAGATCTTTAGTGAGATCAATCGAGATCAAACCGGCACTACAACCCATCCCACCAAGATTGTAGCTAACAATGTTCCCTCGAAGCTTATAATGGTTTATAATCATTGCAGAAAGAGAGGGCGTTGGATTGAACAAGCTACAATTCACAACCAAAATCCCAATGTCTTTTGGTTTCAGAGAGGTTTTTGCCAAAAGCTCATCAATGGCACCATACATAACAGCTTCAGCTTCTTTTCTTGCTTCTTCCATACATGGATTAGGAGGTACTCTTAGAACAGCATCAGGGAGGTATGTAGTCTGACCAAGACCAGACCTTTCTAGAATCTTCTGTTGGAATTGGAGGTTTTCTTCATTGAATGATCCTGTCAAACGCGACCTCTCCATGAAAATCTGCCTCGTGCATTGACGAGCATCTTCTGGTTTATAGCACGAGAAATTCACGAGGTAAACTGGGCGAGGACGAGTAACGAAGTAAAGGGTGGATAGGAACACCAGAAGTGTCGAGCATAGAATCACAGATATTAGATTGAACTGAAGATGGTCCCAAAGAACATACAGATCTTGGAGGGAAAATGTAGATAGCTGAGCCGCAATAAGAACAATAAGAGGACTTAAACATAGGTACATTCCATGGGTAATGAGGTAATGGTATCCCAGTTTAACATACTTCAATTTGACAGATTTCTTGAAATCAGGAAGCTTCTGCGACGAAGATGATGGTATCAAGGGTTTGCTCAGTTTTGATTCACTCATTGTCGAAGAATTTCAAACAAAGGAGTTAGATTGAAATAGATGAATTCAAACAATTGAGCTAGTTCAAACAATCTAATTCCCTTAAGAAAAGATGGGTAGTATTTTAGATCAAACCCCACAGATTTTCTTCCACTTTCCAGGGAAAATGTATATAGGAATCTAAGATCTGGGTGTTAAGAGAAATCTCTAGAAGCTAATTGGGCATGTGTTCAAACACAAAACTAATTCAAATGACATTGAAATGGTTTCTATCAACAGAAAATCAGAGAACACAGCTCAAGGAACATAGAATTCCTGCAAAATCAGAATACATTATAGTCAATTTACAGCGAACATGTTTTTATCTGTCCTATAACATATAAGATCTAACCAATGTTGCTCACAGAAGGAAAAAAAAAGAAAAAAAAATATGTGAAACCCAGAATTGAAATAGAGAAAATTGGAGATTAGAAATGATCGGAAAACTGACCTTGAGCGGTGTAAATCTCTGCCACCAGATCACCTCGTCGTCTCCGAAGAAACCAGCAATGTGTTCATGTGAAGAGAGAGATTTTTAAAAAATGTTTATAAGAGGGAGAGCGCGTTTACGGTGAGAGAAAGACAGAGAGGCACAGACCAAGACAGATGTATAATACTACATGTGCGCTTGTATTTATAAATTTAAATTTTTGAATAATTTTATAAATAAATAATGAGCCCGAGATAATTGTCCAAATAATCATGGAGAGGATATTTAAAAGGTTAGTTAAGTTTTAAATTCGAATTTATAGAGACGTCAGCTTACCTTGTAATTCTAATTATTAACTTATTAACTTAAATAAGTTGATAAATAAAAAAAATTGTTAAATAGTTTTTCAGTGAGGAGAAGGTGTTTAATAGTTTTGGATGATTTAATAAAAATAAATAAATAAATAAAATATCTAGAGTTTATTGAATGTAATAATTATTAAAAATGGAAGGCTTTTGAATTTATTTTATTTTATTTAAAAGTGACAATGTTCATTAAAATGGAATGGAATGCAATTGTATAATAGAATAAGAAATTAGAAATGAGTTTGGCAATTTTTTTTTTTAAGAAAAATTACAAATAAGTGGTAATTTCATAAAATATTTATAAATTTATAAAAAAAAATATAAATTTAATTACCAAAATTAGTAAAATTTATCACTGATTTAAAATAATTTTTGAAAACATGTATTGATTTATAATTTTTTCCGTTTTTTAATAGTTGTTTTGTTGAATTTTGTGAATTTTTTCAAAATTTTAATATTAGATGGATCTGAAAAGTTATAAAATAATTATTATTTTTTTTTTGTCTATAATAAAAAAATCAAAAATTTCATACAAAATTTACCTTTTAGATTTGTCTAAACTACATGAACCCAAAAAGTAAACATTAAAAAAAAGATTTTTTAAAGTCTCTAATATTAAAATTTTATAAGATAAATGACATATAATATTTTTATAATAGCTAAGATCCCTTAATAATTTTTAAGAAAATTTATCCATAAGTCCTAGTTTCTGAAAAGTTGAACCATTTAGTCCTAAAAGTTTTCTTATGCTCCATTTAGTCCCATTTGCACATCAATCTAATGTTTGAAACATTAATATGATGTTCGAAATCTAATATTCGAAACATTAATCTGATGTTCGAAATCTAATGTTCGAAACATTAATCTGACGTTTGAAACATTATAATGGGACCTTTCAGTCTATAAGAAAACTTTTAAGACTAAACAGTGTATAAGTTATTAATTTGGGATTTATTGGTGCATCCCCCTAATTTTTATAAAAAAAACAATTCGATAAAAAAATTTCATTCCGACACAGAAAAATTTCATCAAAAGATATTAACTAAAAAAACGTATTGGAGCTCCCAAAGTTAGAGAGAAATATTTCATTAATTTTTTTTTAAAAAAATACAGATTATTTTTTATAAAAATAACTAAAAATTTTTTTTTGAGAAAAATAGGATTTTTTAACTATTCCCCATAAAAGACAATTTTAATCCAATTGGATTGTTTTTATAACAGAAATAGATACCAAATATGCATGGAACGTGTACTGCATATGGATTATATAAGGAGAAGACAGCGAACGCAATTGTGTGTGGACCGTTGAAACTTCAAGGAAGCGGCTGTCACGTGTCTTATTTTATTGGGGTATTTTTTTTAAGGTTCCTGATATTATGATTTTCTAGTATAAAAGACATCAACTATTTTCATGATGTCTAAGGTTCTTCAACATCAATCCAGAGAAATTTCAGTCCCAGAGAAAATTCGATCCAGAGAAAATTCACATCACAGAGAAATTTGGTTCAGAGAAATTCTGAATTTCTCTGGACTTCCCAGAGAAATTTTACGAAAGGAAGGGAAAATTAGAAAATTGATTCAGATATGCCATCTCTCGAATTTTCTCTGATTTGAGAAAGGAAGGGAACTATTGGCTGCCAATTCTCAAGCAACCAATAGTTCTTTCTCTAGTTTTGCATTCTGTAGAGAGAGCTTTGTGACTTCACCAGCCAAATTCTTCAACTCAACGGTAGTAGCAGAGGCCAGTTCCTTTGCATAAGAAGCTTCTTGAGACAATTTTTTATTCTGTACATGTAAACCACTGTTCTCCTCTAAAATATGAACATGTTCTACCATTAGTTTCTCATTCTCAATTTCTTGCACAAAGAAACAAAACCATCTATGTAAGGTCCATTATGCAAAAAAAACTATAAAACCCACATCAGTTCATTCTGAAGTCAGAGAATTTGGTTAAAACACATTTCAAAGTCAGAGAAATTCCGAAGTCAGAGAAATTCAAAATTTCTCTGGAGATAAATCCATAATTTCTCTGGAGAGAAATTCCAAAATCCAGAGAAATTTCCAGAATTTCTCTGGACCAATTTTCTCTGGATTTAATTTCTTAGATATAGTAAGAGATGATGTTAAATTTGTGGATCTTACTTGTCCATCATCAGTACAATTGGTGCCTTCTGCCAAGAAGCATTCACAGACATCTTTCATCAGCTTCACCACAGAGAAACCAGCTTCACTACAACGCACCCACGGCCACGCTATGGTCACTACACAATGTAACAGCAACAGCAACACTGGTTTCCACAAACCAACCCACATCAGCTCACAGGACCACCATAGAGACCACCTTGCAGGTGATGGTCTCGTCCTCCGCCGACTTCTTCTTGCAGATCATGCAAATGTCATCTTCGTCGCAGGGGAGGTCGAGGTATCCGAAGATTAGCTGACCGATGACGGTCCCTAAGAGTGCGATGGCAACCATGGCGGAGGTGATGGCGATGGGGACTGAGTTACGGCTAGAACGGCGGCAATCGATCCGAAGATTACCTGACCGATGACGCATCTCATCTTCGACCAATCGATCCACAATGTTTAGTTGGAGAGAGAGAACCTGGAAGTTGAAGCTGGGAAGAGGAGGGAGCTCGTTGAGGAAATCAGAGGGTTTCTTGGAGCTGCGACGTATCTCATCCTCGACCAATCGATCCACCTCTTCTTTGACTTCGACCAAATTTCTCTGATACATGTTTAGGGATCTTAGACATCAAAAAATAATTTTGTGGATCTCTTCCATTACGAAAAGTGTGAGAGGGACCCTAGACTAATTTTTCCTATTTTATTTGGGATAAATTATCAATAAGTCTTAATAGTAAGACTTTTATCAAATCGTACTGAAAATAAGTTTTAATAAAATCATCACTAAAAATAATTTTTAAAACAATTTTTTTACATATATTGCTAAAAATTGACAATTAATAATTTTTTTATCACAATTTTTATAAATTGTTACAAAACTTACAATTAATAACGTTTTTCTGTGACAAATGAAATTTTTTTAAATTGTCTCTAAAACTTATAATTAGTGACATTTTTTGTGATAAATTTTTAAATTGTCATTGAAAATTAACAATTACTGACTTTTTTTAATAGCATTTGATAAAAAAATCATTAATTATCATAAAACTTATTAGATAATAAATTCATCTATTAAAATCTATACATAAGTTCCTCTTTTATTTTTAAGGTTATTAATCAATTTTGTTTTAAAGATAAATTATACTGGGGTGGTGCCTTAATTAATTTTTTATTAATCAAAATAGCGAGACTCACTCATCAAATTTAATTTGTTTGATAATCATAACTCTTTGATTTATTATTAAAGAAAATAGTTGATAAGCTATGATTTTAAAAAGCATATTGAAAAATAAATATGATAAATTTATATAGTTGCACGAACACGAAATAATGTTCTCGTATAATCCTGTTGACCAAGTCTGCGCTCCTCCAAGCACACTCACTTTACTCCCTGAAAACACAAACATGAGCTAGCTGGCGGGTGTGTGCCGGATACCTTTCCGATGCCTAAGTCAGCAAAACAGACAAATAGACAAAAGCTCTATGTATTCAACAATCAAAGTTATGTTACCTCTCCATAGGTGATGTTGTGAGCTTTTATAGGTTCCGCATGGCATAATCCTAGTAGGACTCTTATTCCTCCATGTAGAGTCCTCCTAGGAATCACACTCCTAAAAGATAATGCTTATCCTTCAACACCCCACTCACTACTTAAACCAAGTGAGATGGTTTTACCTCGGTAATATGACAACACGACCGAACTACCATAGCTATGCTAAAGCTGCAGAAATGATCGAGCTCCAACTAGTTCGATTCTTCCCTTCATTGCTTGTATCTTGGTATGGTCTGTCGAGACCGAGCTAACCGTAGTAAACTCCGACCAGGCTATCGAGAGCAAGGTTCACTAGAAGCCCAAATACCTCGGTTCTGAATACCATGACCGAACTAATTATCACCATACCGACCGTAGTAACCACCATTACAATTAGACCGAGCTAACCGCAAGGTCCTTTTACTCATCCCTTTTTACTGCGGCCCAAAGAACGACCCATTACCGCGCCTTGGCCTAGCTCGGCCCTAGTGCGCATAAAAACTTCCCTCTCAATTGCCCCTTAATTCCATCTGCGCAGCATGATTGGGATTACCTATTATCAGCCGAGCTAAAACTTTTAGGTTTTCAACCGAGATAAAATACCGCCGAGCTACCGAATGGTTTGGTCAAAAAATGTCTTTTTAGTCATGCTGTACATCTGAATCGCTTGCTCTCCCATAGACACGTGGCTGGCCTCGACTGGTTGAGTACAACTGTCAACGCCGCCCTCGTACTCCGAAATTTTTAAACAGTCCCACATTTTCTTGCTTTATTCGAAAAACCTCCATTTTGAATCAAAGACACTCATGTTCACCTTCTCTCTTATGCTTTTTGAGTTTCAATTTTTCCTCAATACTGCTTCTGTAAAGCTCTTCCTCGTGATCTCGATCTTCCTCCTCTCGTCTTCATACTGTAAGTAACTCAGTCTTCTTTTGCTTTCCATTTGTATAGACTAGCAACATGTATCATTTGTATATATGTGTTTTTTCACAACACTTTCAAAATGGTTTTCTTTATATCGAATAAGAACCTTTCGAGCAGTAAACACACCCACTGGATTTGCGAATCAAACTGAAATGGGACGTTTTAGATCCAACATTATACCACGACCGAGATAAGAACTGGTTTGCCATAAGTGCATTT